TTTTTTTTTTTTCTATTTGCCATACTCTTTGTTAATGTTTATTCAGTTTTGCAATAAACTTGAGAAAATTGTCTTTTGTTCTAATTTTTCAATAGCTTTTCATACATGAGAATTGAAAAAAAAATTTCTTTTCTTTCTGTTGCTGCTGTCGTTTTCATTAATTCTCCGTTTTGTGTGCACAAATTTTGAAGTGTAAAGGTGCTGTTAACAGGTGAACAGATTGTTTTTTTTTTTTTTTCGTTGAAACTTTTTTTCTTCTCAGCGAATTTCCTGTAAAAAAAACTTCTTGGACACATCAGTTTTATAACTGAAACAAGTAGGTGGCTAACTGACAAGGAAAAATCTTTCGTAAAACACTTCCGTCTAACTTTTTTTTTTTTTGCATTTGACTAGACGTAGCTGAGACTCGCTTATTGCTGTTTAGAAGATCACCATCAATACTGCGGAATAACCTAAGAAAACATTAAAAAACAAAAACGCAATAACTTTTTGGTTTTAGATATGAACCTGTAAAAATCTAGTTGAAAATCAGCTTAGCTTTATTTGACTATTAGTAAAATTCTGTCTATTTGATAAAATAGGTGAAAGAAAACGATGCTGAAAGTTCAGCGACACTGAATCTCCAATATAGCATTCTGCTGTCGTATTGTATCTGTGCAGACCCAGAACGTACCATAACATTCAACTACAGACATTTTATTGTTTCCTTTTTAGGCTTCCAATTTTTAAGACTATTGTAGAGGTGTTCTAACTAAAGTGACTAATCAAATTGACTCACTCGGGAAGAAAAAACGAACATGAATAGCAGGAAGTAAGTGACAGAAGTACAGTTGAAGAGCTGTTATCTGTGAAGAATGATACATCAGTATAAAAAATCAATGTCTACTATATCAAACAGTTGATTGAATTATAACAGTTGCAAATGTATAATTATTAGTGTTTAAGAAAAAGGAAATAAAAAAATAACAATTTAATTTGATTATATTGCTAGTATTGAGAAAATTTCTGATGCTTTAGTTAAATATTAGAATCAAAACGAACGTTTTAAATAAATCACAGAAGTGTCACTGATGACAACAGACTGACAAACTTTATAAATAGTGTACAATGTACAGCTTTCATTTATTTTTTCTTCTTTCCTTCTTCATCTTTAAAAAACTGATTACACTAACATTTATCAAAAAGTTTTTGATTATATATTTTTGCAATAAAATAGTATTTCTTTGTTTTTGGCATTGTTGTTGTTTTTTTATAAAACAATAAAGTATCACTTTTACAGAAATTTATTTTAAAAAGTTTAAATTCAAATTGAAAACTGTACAATAGAAATTTCTCAAAGTTCAGCCAACAGTTGATGTAGCTAATAGTCGCTTGACGACTAAATAAATGATGTGGACTTGTCCATATCTCAAGTAGACTAAAGCAACTTTTATCAGCATCGTTAATGCTAATACTGGTTCCGGTTTGGTGACCTACTCTTCTTATTTGCCACATCTTCACTTTTAAGCTTCTTCCTCTTCTGGTTATATCTGCTGCCATTACAGTTACTGCTGCTGCTACTATTATTCATACCACTACTGTCTTAGGTGTCGTTGCTCTTGCTGTTACTGTTTTGGTTGTCGAAAATGATATTACAGTAAGTAAAGAATGATGACTTTAAACAGATAGGATCATGCAGAGCTTCCTTCGGTTACAAAGCAGATACCTATAAGCGTACACTAAAAACATAGAAGTTTACACACATACATGCACTTAAACACAGACTAATAAAAAAGTGGTCAAGATGTCGATAGTTGAATAAAAAGTTTATATGTTCTGTCATTTCTGGTTCCTCACCCTGCTTTGTTGCTTCTTGTTTTTGTTTTTGCTCTTCATGGTGCTTTTACTCTTCCATGCGCAGATGGATATATAGATTTAATTGCCTGTTACTTAGACTTAAAGACGTCAGAATTATAAATGTATAACGTTCTCAGGTGTATTTGACGTCGAAATAAAAAAAAAATTGAATATTTTGTGTGCGAGTGAAAGCTAAAAAGAAAACTAAAAGATATGCGTATTTATTTGGTTGTCATGGAGCCATTTAGAAATTTAATTTTTTATTGAAATCAAAATTGCTGTTAGCAGCATATATTGTCATGTTTTCTGCTAAAAAAAAATTACCTTTTATCTTTCCTACAACCTCCCCTTTCCCCTTCCTTCATCTCTTCTTTTCCCTTATTCTACCGTTTTAAACTATTTCTTATTTGTCTTTCCTTCCCCTACCAACCTTTCAAAGTTTTTTTCACCTCTATAGACACTTATTTTATTACTTGGCTTTGATATATATATTTATACTTTTACACTGTTTTAGTTTCCAATTTTCATCTTCAAAAAGGAAAGAATTTTTTTACTTTTGCTGAAAAAGATTACAACAAAGTAAAACAACATTTGGCTTTTTATCGTTGCACTGTTTTCTCGACCTGTCCAGAAGGAGAAAAAAAGAGAACGAGTAAAGGAAAGAGACAGATTTATATTTCGTACTGTCGTCATTCTGGTCCGATCACTTCTGAAAGGAAAGACTAAAAAGTGGAAGTAGCAGAAAACGAAGAAGACGAAGAAGAAGAAGAAGAAGAACGAGAAATAGGAGAAGTAGACGGGGAATAAGGATAAGGAATCAACCAATTCGTGGATTAAAACAAAGCAAAAGTCGAAAAGACTTTAGTGAATAATTTAAGTATAGAAAAAAATACGTATTGATATATACATACTGTATTTTAGTGTTATTCATATATTATTTCAAAGCATTAATTTGTTTCAGCTTATTGTTTCTTGCACCTATTATCTATTTTATTGTTTCATTACTGCTTCTACAAATTTCGTAGCACTGATGCTACAGATAGTCATCATAATCTCATTATCAACGCTATTACCTTCATCACTGATGTGTTCCTAACTGTTATTGTTGTTATCTGAAAAGTTTTAAAAGAAAAAATTTAGAAGAGTTAAAAATTTGAAGAGCGAAAAAAAAAGAAAGGAAATAAGAAAGACAACGGAAAGACTAGGCAAGATTTTATTAATAATGAATATCTATTTGTTATTTGGCTGAATCCAATACTATTCAATAACTTTCATTTTTCAACTATTTCTTAACATATATTACTCCTTATTGCTGTGTTTTCAACGCTGACGAATACTGTTCTTCGGATCATCTGTTGTTAATTGTTGGCGTGCTTGCTATTCTTGGGAATAACGCAACAGACAAAAGAGGACAACAAAACAGAAGAAGTCGAAAGCTTGGAACAAAGAGAGAAGCGTTGAAATAAAAAAAATAATAGACCAAAAAGTGATTTTAAATAAGACGGAAGGTGATAGTGGAATTTGACTCGGTTCGTTGGATATCAGTCGGATAATTGGTCGTCGTGGTTGTAGTGTTTGAGTGTTTGTTTGTGTGTATATATCTGAGAGTGTAATATTTGTGTGTGTGTCTTGGTTTCTATGTATGTGTGTATTTGATCATTATCATCGTTGCCGTCATCGTCCTCATCGTAAACGAGCAACACACCGTCAATGGGTTCTGGAAGCAGTGTTGCAGCACCACAACGAGAGGTGTCACATGTATCCAGGGGTAAACCAGCTGAAGAAACAAAAACAGCGACACATGAATTCGACTCTTGTCTACCGTATACAAATTTTAGGGATTTATTTACACTGAAAAATTACTGGAAAGTTGTACGTCGAAATGAGAGAGAAAGTGGAAAAGCTCTGGTTTCGAAGTATGAAATATTTATTATTTTTTTCTTTCTTTTTTTTTTTCAATTTTTAATCTTTTATTTTTTATTCTTATTAGTTTTTTTTCTTATTTTTAATTATCTTTTTCATTGAATAAATTAAAAATGCTGGACAGATAGCTGTCTTCACTGTTACTGTTGCTTTTGTTTGATTACTTACCGTTTATCTTTGATAATTTTTTTATCATCAATTTATTATAGCTATTTTTCACCAGTAGCACTCAATTTATCTGGTTTTTGCTGGTTTTTTTTTCGATTAAATCGACTATTTTTTTAATCGTTAAAATAATTGCTTCTTCTTTCTTACTTTCTATTGGTGATTAACGTCAGTCTACCCTCAAAAACTTAAATGGCGACAATTGCGTATTTTTTTTTGTCAGAACTATTATCGAGGACTATTTTTGGTGTATATCAATTGTTTGGTGGAGAAATTTTCATGGATTTTTATGGTATTGCTGAAGGCTTTGACGGCTTTTTGCTGATGACTGGGTTCCGGTCATCAACAGAGTTCATTCCGTGGCACGTTAGTTGCCGGATGTAAAACTTGGCTAAAATAACATAAAGTTCCGTGTTGATTATAGCTATTTTAATGATGTTCACTGATCAGTGAAAATTATACGAGTTATTGCAATTATGCTATTGACAGTTTAGATAAATAGAAATAGATGAAGGTACGTAGTTGGTAGTTTGATATGATACTGCTGAGGCTGCTTTTTGATGCCGGAAGCTCAGTTTTAACTGTAAATATATACTTTTTTTGAAAAAAAAGATTTTTTTTAATTGCAAATTTTAGAGAAATAAGGGTTGCATGTAAATAAAGTGTCTTATTTTCGTTCTTATTTTTATTTTCATTTTAATGAAATGTCTTACCTGAGCAAGAAAAATTGGCGGAAAGGTTTCTTAATTTAGTTAAATAAGAAAAAAAAGTTTTATGCAATTAATTTAATCATTCAGTTTTTCAAATTTTTTGCTATTTGAAATTTAAAACCTATTTGAAGACATTGATAAAAGCTGTTCTTTAGCAAACAACAGAAGTCATTTACTATTAGTTGAAATAAGCGATGAGTGTATACAGCTTAACTTTTAATATACTTTTTTTTTGGGGGAGTCTGTCTGGAATTTATAGAATATAAATACATTTTTATGTTTATTAACAGCTTATAATGAAGCAAAAATAAATTTTAAATAATCGAAACTGTTGGTTAACTTTTGAAAAAAAAAAAAGCAATTCTCTTTGTTACTCTCACTATATGTCTTTCTTTTTTTTTTTTTTCTTTTTTGACTATTAATAGTTCCTTAAATAACCACCTAAAAGAAAGAAAAAAGGAAAAATAGACATTCAATAATTTTTTAAGAATATTTGTTCAAAAAAAATTGTTTTTCAACTTTTTTTCTCTTTTTTAGTTTAGAGGTGGAGAAAGAGTTTGCAGTAATCATATAGATACCTCTGTTTTAGTTAAACAATAGACGACAACAACAACAACTTCAAATAATAAACTTTATTAATGTGCACATTTGTGCTCTTTTATCTGAATGGGTCGAATACGGTGTCACTTTGTTCCAATAAATTCACTTGACGTAATTTTGCATGTAAAGCAGAACAAGTGTAAGTTCTAAAAACTTTAGACTGCAAACTACAGCAATGTTGTCACAGAAAACCAAAAAGAGAAGTAATAAACTGGCCTGGGAATTGCTTAGTGTCTAGTTCATTCAAAGTCTCAATTTATTAGGTTTGCTTAATTCTGCTAAACACTAAACTGAGCACTTTGAATACACAACGGTTATTGAAAATAAGATTTTATTGTTGTCCTCAGTCCTGCTTCTATTTTTTATCATTCAAACCTTTAATTTTTTTTTTTTGCTGATTCTTTCAACAACTAAAAAAGTCAATAAATAACAAACGGTAAATGTGCAATAAATTATGTTTTTTTCTTTTTTCAATAATCTAAATAAAAATTTATTTAAGCATAAAAAAACATTACAGATGTTAACAAAAAGCAGTAAATCAATTACAGCTGTCATTTGTTTAGATATCTTAAGAGTAATCCGGACAATAAAAAATTATATGAACGATTGAAAAACATTAATTTGGCAACCGTTGACAGTTCAACAGTAGATCCTGGTTTTGAAAAAGTTTCTGCTGCTTATCTTAAGGTATGTGAAGATGAAAAGGACCTATAAAGTCCTACAATGTCATTTTTTTTTTGGCAAACTAAAAAAAAAAATGATACAATATTTTGTTTTTTTTTTTTCACGTTTATTTGCTCTTTTTTTTCCATTTAAATATCAAAATAAAATTGAAAAACTGTCGTTTTTTTTGTTTTTATTAGGTATTCGATGAAGTAATCACTGCTGTAGAGGAAAAACCAGCAGATGTTTCAGAAGCCTGTGAGCGGCTAAAAGGCATTGGAAAGATGCATAAAACTAAGGTTTGTCTTGTTTATTCTACTGCTGCAAGTTCTTTTTTTTTTACAGCATTTTAACCTTTCCTAATATTGATATGCAACGATAATTTCAAAGACAGTTAAGCTAACATTACCTTTTTATGGCTGCAATTTTTTACGGCAAAATTCTTTAGCTTCTTCTGTTTTTGCAATCAATTTGTTGTTGAGTACTGACAATTTCCAATTCTTTTTTGTTCTGCCTTTAAAGCCAAAAAAAAAAAAAAAAAAAGAATATA